CTGGTTATTTTACTTTGTTTTTGCCTATCAAAGCCCAAATACAGACCGTTCTGTCCCTTGCAGTAGGCATTATAACTTAGCATCTGTTTGAATAATCAAAAGGTAAAGGGAAGCTTGTGGTCATATTCATAGTATCTACATAGCCTTATTTAAAATTTTCCTGCAATGCTCAGAAAATGTAGAGTTTGATGGTACAGACCTTTTACGTCTGAAGTGCAGCTATCTTTCCATGTGATCTTTCTGCTTTTGACCAAATTATCTACTAAGCTTTTTCTTTAACCTCAGTGACTACTATAGGAAGCATCATGAATTATAAAGAACAAATATGCTGGGATATGAAAACCCTGAATCTGTATCCAACATATCACACACAGTCATCTAAGTGTGAACTTGAAAAATGACCTCCTTTGATGTTACTTTTCTTTTCTATAAAAAGAGGCAATAGCAGTCACCTCATAATGTTATCTAGACATTCATATTACATATCTGCATGAAAAGTTATGAAATGGCGTTTGGCACGTACTGGTCCCTCATATTTACTTCTTGTCTTTTCTTTCTTTCTCTCACTTTCCAAGGTCTAAATACAAATGACTTAACCCCAATTTCAAAGTTGTTTTTTTTTAAATCATAGAATTCAGAACATTTTCCCAGACCTCCACCATTGCCATAACTTCACCATTTTTACTATTTAAAGCATTATGATCGATTTAGAAAGCCATTGCTATATTCCTATACTAATGCATTAACTGATTCAACAAGGATTTTTGAGGTAGTATTTCTTTATTTGTCCCTTTATTTCCACTGTACCTCATTGCCCAGCAAGTTCTGAGACTATATCCTAAATCATCTTACAGATTTTATTGTTGATATCTCAAGAGATATATACTGTTGTTCTCAGCCCACTCATCTTCCCTGTGGTCAAATTTATTATGAAGCCTTCACTTCTGAATCTTATAAATACATTTAACAAATTATGATTTTAAAACTAATTTGTATATCTAAAAAATTCAAGGTCCAGAAAAGACAAGGGATCATCTCATTTTATCTGCATATTAATTTTCAAAATGAGGTAAGTAAAATACTTTAGTATAACACTATTCCAAATGAAACCAAGATTCAACATAATCAAGAGACATTTTTAATTGAAAATATTTTGTTAAGAACTTGCATTTTCCAATTCATAATCTAGTATTTCTATTTTTAGCTAGAATCTAACTGCTACATACAAATACCCCAAAAACACCTTTTACCTGGTAGAATGAAGGTCACATAACACAGAAAATGGAGGAGATAATAAAAGATCTTCATTCTGTAGAAAGAAGCTGCTGAAAGATTTGGTAACAAAATCTAGAGACTAGAGCACTTTCCAAAAAGCCAAGAGACATTTACTATTTATAGTTTTCTAATGAGAGAAAGACTGTTTATCCGGAAACTGTTTTATTTTTATGTACTTAACCCTGCTCCATTGACTAGGGCTGTGGGCAGAATTATCCAAATTGAAAACAATTAAAAGTAATTGAGCTTTATGTAGACGATAGCTGTAAACATGATATCCTTCTGTCAATGGTGATCAATTAAATATCAACACAAAGGGGCATGCATGGAGTGGGTTTATGAGAAATATTTATTTACCATTTTAGATGTAAAACAACTGATCATTACCATACCAGTTAAACTCCTGGTTGCTTTTCAGAATATATTCTAGTCACTAATCTGGTGTGTAAATTCATCAACATGTTCACAGATCCAAAATCCTTACTTATATAGCCAGTGATTCCATTAGTTTCCCCAAATTATTCATTTACCAAAGTCCAGATATTAAGCTTCACTTTTGTCACTGAGTTTTATTACCTTTTTTCAGATGCAATTTGAATATTTATGGAGCTCTGCTTTTTCCTAGAAAAGTCCAAATGAGTTTTCATTTATTTTCAATTTTCACCACAGTAATATATGCACACAATAAATATTTAAAAAAAACAAATAAAAAAGCCTTGCAATGAATAGAAATAATTTCCCACCTCTATTTCCCTATTTTCAAGTTTTCTGGTTACTATTAACATTAGAATCTACTTATCTACTTTATATTTTATTTTTGCTTGACAACCAGAGTATACGTTTTGGTTTCCAATATAAGAAATGTAGATTTAGATCACTTACACTCTCTCCTGTGGTTTCCTTAAACATTTGAAAGTTATATTAATGTTTGAAAATTTCTGTTAGCTATCTTCAAACTTTTAAATACTTCTATCTTTATTCCACCCACTGTCTTGATATTTCATATGAATGGAGTAATAAAATATGTGACAATTTGTGACTGGCTGCTTTCACTTATTATAATATTTTCAAGGTACATCTATGTTGTAATATGAATCAATACTTCATTACATTTTACTACTCAATAATATCATATTGTATTGATATGCCACATAATGCTTCTCAGTCCATCAGTTGATGGAAAGTTGGTTTTTTTCCACCTTTTAGCTATTATGAATAATGCTGCTATGAACATTTTTGTACAAATTTTTGCAATGACACGTTTTCATTTCTCCTGCACATATGCCTAAGTATGGGATCCCAGAGTCAAAAGAAAACTCCATTCTTAACTTTTTCAGGTACTTTCGCATTGCTTTCCAAAGTGTTTCCACCAATTTACATTCTTACCAGCAGTGTATGAAAGTTCTAATGTCTTTATATCCTCAACAATGTTTGTTAATGTCTGTCATTTTAATTATAGCCCTCTTAGTGGGTGGGAAGTGGTAACTCATTGTGGTATTGATTTGTATTTCCTTGGTGGTAATCTAGGTTAAACATTTTTCTGAGTAGCTGTGGAACATTCGTATATCTTCTTTGGAGAAATACATATCTAACTCCTTTGTCTATTTTATAATTGGATTACGTGGTTTTTATTTTATTAAGTAGTAGATATTCATTATGAATTCACGGCAACCATGGCTGAGAGGCTGCTGTTTTTCAAAGCTACTGTAGAGCCGACAGGTGTCGGACAGTAATAGTGCAGTTAAAATGCCACAAAGCTAGCTGTTTCTACTGAAATTCAGCATTTATTTTCTTGATAAATGCTCCTTGGATTTTCCAAGTCTGTGGTTAATTTGCGGAGCTTTTAAAAAGTTAATTTTAGCAATTCTTGCCAGTTTTTCTTTGTTTTATGAAGAGGCAGATATTTGGAGTTTTTTACTTCATCATTTCAGAAGTCCTTCCTATGATTTCATTATTTATTCTTTCTCTCTTCTCTTCCCTTCCTTCCTTCCTTCCTTTCTTCCTTCCTCCATTTCTTTCTTTTCTTTCTTTTCTTTTCTTTCTTTCTTTCTTTCTTTCTTTCTTTCTTTCTTTCTTTCTTTCTTTCTTTCTTCTTTCTTTCTTAACTTTTGTAGTTTGGAAATTATATACACTTCTGGTTAATATTCTTGTGCAACAAACTATCCAGAAACTTGATGGCTTAAAGCAAAATTCATTTAAGTATGCTGATTGATTCTGTGGGTGAAAAATGAACACAAAGCATAATGGGAATGGGTTGCCCCTTTTCTTCTAGGTCTGGGACCTCACATGGAAAGACAATGAAGATTGGGAAAGAAAGCTCATTGGGTAGCTGCTTCTTCTTACCCTTCTTTGGAGAGTCTAATTTTGCTTAACATACTTTTAAATGTTATGTCTTGGGATTTTAGACTTTTTTTCCCCTCTCAATCTGAAGTCATCCCTTGGGTGATTTTATCTCATTGCTTCAGTTAATGGTTCCTCAAATCTATATTTGAAACACATTTTTCTTTCCTGTGCTTCACCCAGGTATAAAGCAGAGAAGTCTAAACTCAACATGTCCTAAATGTTCCTTTCAAATCTTCACCTGTTACTATATTTCCTAATGAATGCTTGTGTTGTTCAACAATTTTTTTCAAGTAAGAAAACTAAACTGGGAATTATCCTTCCCTCTTACACCTCTAATTCACCAAACTTCTTTCATTTCCTCTAAGTCAGAATTCTGATCTAAGTTTTTATATTGCCCAGATCTGTGCTGTAGCTATAGATATAAATAAATAAATAAATAAATAAATAAATAATACACTCAGTGGAGGGTTTGAATTCTGAATATTAAGCATTTACTGATGGAAAGCTTTATAATTCATAAGAAAGTTTATATTAACATTAAATCAATATTATGATAGAATTAATGTGGAAAACTGGAAACACAATGAGTTCATTGAAAACAGGGACAAGGACAAAAACATTAAATACTGAATTATACAATGAAGGAGTTATGTAAAATTCTTAAGGACCAAGAGAGAAGATGCTTGGATTGGCTACCTATGTTCAGAACTGATTACGGCAGTTACCTCTGGATGGTAAAATTAGAAATGACTTTTTTTTTCTTTTTGGACATTTCTATATTCTTCCAAATTTCCTTATTATTTTATCATTAGAAAAAAATACCTTTAAAATGTTTTTAACTTGCTTTTTATTTCATCATATTTTACTCCCTGTTAAATTTTGTTTAATTGATCTTTCTCATATTATCAATACGGTTCTATTATGTGATAAAGATGTATATGACTTTGTGTCCAAGACCCAAGCACATTTTTGCTGAAATTATAGATAGGTAGCATAAACCATGATTGATAGTTGACTCCTAAAAGATCATATGAAAATAACTAGGCTATAGCACAGGGCAAATAAATAGGCCAGAGGTAGAGGGAATGACGAAGGATGGAGGGTGTTTGTCATGTGAGTAGAAGAGAACTTCCGCCATTTTAATAGAGGCTATTTATTGGGTCATCGGGAAAGTCATGACGTATTTTTCTATGTTTTTCAATGCAAAAATGCATCATGACTTTCCCCACGACCCAATATTTCTCTTCTTTATTTCTCTTGTACCAACTCAACATTGAACTCACTAGCTGCAACGATGTAGATTGTGTAACTCAGAAGGCTAGAGGAGACTCATGTGAAAATAGATTTATAGGAAGTAGAAAGTTCTTTTTTTATTAGTAATATTAGTACACTGTAGTGTTGTATAGCATGGTAGAAATAGAATTTACATCTTTATAAGCTTTAATTGTGTTGTATTTAGCAGTTGGCTTTACGTATTTCCGTATAACACAGCAGGGCTCAACACTGCAATAATTATATACATATTCCCAAGTGTTACATGACGTCTTGCAAGCACCACGAACAAGAGTACATTCTCTTTTCCTCTGTACAATTTCACTTGTTTTTTCTCTTGTTCTTTTCTGTGAAACTAGGGGAAAATAGCTATGATTATAAATGCACGTTTAATCCCCTTCAGTAGAGAAATGGATAGATGATATAGGTAGATGATAGATAGAAAATAGATAGATGAGTAAATCAAGTTTTTTACAGTATAGATTTAAACCATTTTGTTTCTGAAATCATGCCTAGGTATCTGCATTAAAAAGTTGAGATTTTATCCCCTATAAATTGGTATAATATAGATACTTATTTATCCAACATTTCCTTTGTCTCTAGCATTTTTTATTTATTTATTTATTTTTGTAAATACAATATCCTTAAATACCTAATCTTTGAATGCTTCCTCAAGAGTAAAGAGAAAAGGATGTGGAAAAAATAGTCTACATGCTTTGTGTTCTAAATAGTCATCTACATTCAACACTCTTTTTCCCCCACCACAAATTAGTGAGTTCGTTATAGAAAGCTTAATTTTGACAACATTTAAAATTTCAGTTCATTTTATTGCATTTAAAAAGAGAAGGCAGTAAGAAGCATGTAAAGATTCACAGTTCCATTAAACAAAACAACAAACAGGTTTAAGTCTACATCTTGGGAATTTTCCCCCCCATTATCTTCTGAACTATCAGTTCCACTCATTTCTTCTTCAATGCAAAATAGAGTGAATTGTATTATGAGTTTATATGGCATCTCCTAACAATAATTTACTTGTTTTATTTTTTCAGAGTAGAGCATTTATTTTTTAAAAATCAAACAAACAAACAAACAAAAAACATTTTGCCCTTTCCTCCTTTTTCATTTTAAGAAGCATTACCTGATGGACCACAAGATACAGTGAAGACAAAGGTCAGGAAAATACAAAGCATCTTCATTGCTGATATAGTTACTTGAGTGAAGTTACTTAAGGCAGAGTTCAAAATATCTGAGTTGTGCTATTGTTTGGTAAAAGAAAGACGAACTCTTGTTTTTATAGCCTGCTTGGGGTTGTTACTGATCTGATTAATGCCACCTTTCAAGATTCAGAACATGCTCATGTAAGTATTGTGAAATAGCACCAAGCCGATTAGAGGATTTAGTTCTGTTATGACCTCAACGAGCCAAATGTGAACTCCTTTTCAGTTATACAAACAAATAATGGGGTTTAAAGTCTTCTTTAGCTAAAAGTACATAATCAGCATCTTCACCATTTTTGGTCACATGCTTTTTCAAGTGTTTATTATGTGCCACGCAGTGTTCTAAGCACTATATATAAATTAGCTAGTTTAATCCTCATAACAATTTCTATGACATAGGAACTGCTCATTTTCCAGTTGAGAAAACTGTGGCACAGACGGATTGTATTCTTGCTTCAAATCACACATGAAGTGATTGGTAGAGCTGAGATGAACTCTAAGGTAATATGATGCCACAGTCCATATTCTCAACCTCTACTTTCTTGACTCTTAACTGGGTAATGGGTGTTTATAGTGCAAAGTTATTCTCTGTACATGCACGTGGATTGAGCCAGACAGTGTTTCTAGAACTCAATTTTTCTACAAACAGAAAATATTTCTAGAACACAGTTCTAGTTGCTGTTATACTGAAAATGTTCATAGTTATGCTCTAAGAATAATTAGTATAATTCTTTACATACCATGTAATGAATCCATCATAGGATTACCTCATTCACAGGGGAAGGCAGCACGTTAAAAGTTGAAAGAGCGCTGGATTTAGATACAGATAAAAGATCTGGAGATCTGGCTCCTCTGCTTACTAGCTGTATATTTGGGATAAATATTCACTAACTGAGCCTCATGAGTCTCTCCTTAAAGGCTGGATGGGTAGGCCCAGCCATACTTAGAGGTTTACAGTAAGGACTAAGTAACAAGGGAAAAATAATTGATAAGTAATTAACACCAAAACATAGACAGTTTGGCTACGTGTGAAAACTGAAAAGATGTATCCTTGCAACTTAGTGATTTATGTTCTAACTCCCTCTGTGACTGAGGGAAAACAAATTATAAGGGTAATCTGTAATCTGAGTTTTAAAAGCAGTAATCTTGTCTTCATGTTACTTCTCTGCTTCAGTCCTTATTTAAAGGTTGCCTATATATTTACAGCCAAATCATTGGAAAAATCTATTTTCTCAATATCTTTCTAAAAACACCAAAAGAACCCTTTAAACGACTGGAAAGCTAATAAGACTTATTGTATGTAAACAGAGCAAAATAGCAAGTGTGAAAATACAATAGAAAATGAAAGGACCAGGCATTATCATAGTGATGGCACAGATTAGAAGATGGCCTAGGACAAAATGGCCCGCTCTTGCTTCATTGAAGCTGTGTCCATTTCATCTAAAAGAAGCCACTCATATCAAGTTGGGACATCAGAGAAACTCATAAAATGCATGGTCTTTTCCCTCTTTGATTAAATGTGAAGTTGGGACTAGTGACATCTGAATCACACAAAACAAACATAAGTGACAATATCTCAATTTTCCAAAGGAAGGGACATAAGTAGAACCAAACTAGATGCATAGAGGAGAAGTTAATTTATTTATTTATTCCTTAAAATGGATATCTTAGGGCTTAATTTGAAGAGACCCAGATTCTAGGTTTTTATGAATAAAAACTTTTTTTTAGGGGGAAAGGCAGAGAAAAAAAATGGGGATATGGGAATATAAATGAAATTGCAAGTAGTAACTAAAGAAAAGAAGATACAGAGGAATTTTTTTTTTAAGTATGTGAACCAAATGGTTAAGATGAGTAAGCTCTCGTATTTCTATTTACTTGATTCAGAATTTTGGATTTTTTTATGAAAAACTGTTCTAATTTTCTTCTTATGAAGTTAGATGATCATAGCTACCAATTATATAGTTCTGAGCTACAGGTCAGGACTTTGGAGTTGTAAGTTCTTGGTGATATGGACTCAGTATACACCTATCAGGGGAACCTTTTGAATCCAAGGAATAGATGCTGAGAATACCAGAAAAGGGTATGATACTAAGGAGAGAGATAGTCAAAAGGAAATATCAAATGCAAGTCTTCTCTTACAAGAGTTCCCAATAAAAACTTGATACTTTCTACCATTTTTCTGTATAAAGTCTTGGTTTATCGGTCTGACACTGGGTCTTAGCATTCAAATACCCAGAATAAGAGTCTAGAACTTCATGGTCTCTTTGCAATGCATACCCATGATGCCGTTTCCACTCTTCACTCTTCACTACCAGACACCAGGCATTATTTCAACCTTGTCCTCCACACTGCCCCCGCCCCCCCAAAAAAACACCACTGTATATTTCAATTCACTAATGGCTGCAAAGCTTTAAGATTAAAGATTAAGAATCCATTATGAAGCTAATTTTACGTACCTGTGACAAATTGTTTGATACTTTTGGAAATTTTCAAATTGGTGAAAACAAAACTTTCTACAAATGGGACAATGAGGACTAAGTTACTAGCAGAACAAAAGATTACACAGATGTCAGTGGCTGGAATTTCTGCAACAGTTTCTAATTATTTCCATTACATAAGGCTCTTATACAAGCTCCAATAATTATTGATGGTTCATGTATTTAGAAGCCACGAGTGTGACAGGCTTAGCCTCTTTGCCATACCTGACCCTTGGCACCTTAAAAATACCTATTACATACTTACAATGTGCAAGGCACTATTCTATGCATAAGGTGTGATCGAAACCTATGGTGAATGTTTAAATTAAAAAAAATTTATTACAGTAAAAGACACTTTGCCATTCATCCCCCTCAAAATACTCCCTCTCGCTTCAAACACACTTATCCCATCGTTCTTGCCACTTTCTGAAGCAGTTCTGGAAGTCCTCTTTTGTGAGTGTCCTTAATTGAGCTGTCATGGCTGCCTTGATGTCCTGAATCAATTCAAAACGTTTACCTTTCATGGTCATTTTGACTTTGGGGATAAACCAGAAGTCACACAGTGCCACATCCAGTGAATAACATGAATGAGGACACACTGTAATGTTTTTATTTGACAGAAATTGAGGTATACCAGAAGCGATGTGTGACATGGAGCCTTTTCTAATCTTTCCTAATCTTTTCTAATCGTATCTTTTCTAATCCAGCTAGAGTCTTCCTTGATATTCTAAGGTATAGAGGAGACTGTTGCAGATTGTGTATTCACAATGAGGATAAGTCAGAAACAATTTCTATGCAGAACTTTGGTGCAACTAGTTGCTTTTGTTCTGTATAAGCCATAAATGGGTGTTAATGGCAATGATATGAACCTTAAATTTTAAACCAACCTTAAAGATAACTATTAGAATGTATGGTCTGGTGGAAAAATGTTGCTCAATGTCTGTTGACTTTCTATAACTATCAGAATACATTTATTATCTTTCAGTGTTATGTATCAGTGACCTATCTCAATCTAAGGAAATTAATGTGGTGATCAAAGTATTATCTTTTAATTTTGAAAATAGAGTATTGATTATGTACTGTGATACATGTTATTATTTGCTTCCTCTTCTTACTTCTGAGTGAATATTAAGTTATGGATTATTAATTCAGTAGCCATTAAACACGTTTTGCATATGATCCCCTTCTGTGTGTCAATTAAAATTTTACTCAGATGAAGACTCATATCCTCACTGAATGAATACAAATTACTTTAAGCTCATCCAACTTTAAACTTCCCTTTCTTCAGAAGGATTTTGGCTGTGTGTGTGTGTGTGTGTGTGTGTGTGTGTGTGTGTGTG